CCTTCCCTACTCTTCCCCCCCCCCTTCCCGTCTTCCCCTATCAGCGATCCAATCGGCGCTGCCTCAGCCAGAAACTGGCACGAAACCACCCCACCTCAATCTCCTCTTCCCTACCACCATTAATATTTTTAAGGCCTGGAGTTCTCAACCACATCTTGGAACATATTGCGCTCGAAGCGATGACCACCACTACCCGGTCCGGGGACTTGACTTGGGCTTTTTCGATTCGGATCTTGGCCCCGATGGCCTACTGTAGCTGCTTGATCACTCTACTTGACTTTCTGATGACGCCACCGATGTTGTTTTGGTTGACAAGAGCTCTCAAAATGCCTTAGGTCTCTCGATATGATCTGATAAAAATAATTAAAAAAAGGAACCCAACGAATTTGGGTCATCTTTTTAAACAAAAAATGTATAATTGTCGTTTTAGTGTTTAATGTAAGGTGGGCCAACGAATTTGGACCTTCTCTTTTGCCAAATCCAAAACAAATTCAATTGCTATGTATTAAAACCAAAACAGAAATACTGTTTGTCTCAAACACTAATTAATAAAGATGGTTATGTTTAATACCTAATTTTTCTTAGAAACGTTACCTCCATTGGCTAATCGCCAAAACAGCCGAACCATTGATTTACCCAAAACCAGGACATTGTTTGCAATTTAAATTTCTTTCCAGTCACACTTATTTTTCTTGCTTGCTTGCTTCCTAGAGAGAACAGAGAGAGAGAGAGAGAGAGAGAGAGAGAGAGAGAGAGAGAGAGAGAGAGAGAGTAACTAATATTGGGGAAATTGTGTAACATATAGTTAAAATAAAGAGTAACAAAATGTCTGATCAAGCCATGAAAAACATGGAAGAAGGTGGCAGCTCGGGTACGGACAGCACAAATTCTGGGATTTGCTCTTCTTCTGAGATTGTTCAACTTACCCAAAAGGTAACGCCTTGTGGGTGGCTGACGGATCTCACTGAATATTATATATATATATATATATCATATATGCATGCATAATACCTAATTAAACCTCCTCACGTGCAGGTAATTGCAGAGGTGATTGGGACATATTTCGTGATATTTATCGGGTGTGGTTCGGTAGCAGTGAATAAGATTTACGGTTCTGTAACATTTCCAGGGATTGCAATTACGTGGGGATTAATTGTTATGGTCATGGTCTATGCCGTTGGCCATATCTCCGGCGCCCACTTTAATCCCGCTGTCACCGTCACCTTTGCCATCTTTCGCCATTTTCCAGTCAAAGAGGCATGAATCTATATATAAACTAATTCATAATCCCAATTAATTAACTAACTAATCACATTCTTGAGGTTAATTAATTAATTTGTGATACTTGCATTGCATTGCATTTGATTGCATTTGCAGGTGCCTTTATATGTTGTGGCGCAGGTGCTAGGATCCATCCTTGCAAGCGGGACGCTATGCCTTCTTTTGGACGTACCCCAAACCGCGTACTTTGGTACTTTACCAGTTGGCTCAGATATTCGATCTTTGATCATTGAGATCATTGCCTCCTTTCTTTTGATGTTTGTTATTTCAGGCGTTGCCACCGACAACAGAGCTGTTAGTATATAATTAATATCTTTCTTCATTTTTATTAATCAACTTCCATCTCCTGGATATATTCATTTTACATTATATATATATATATATGTGTGTGTGTGTGTGTGTGTATGCAGATTGGAGAACTGGCAGGAATTGCTGTAGGAATGACAATAGTGATCGATGTCTTCGTTGCCGGGTACATATATACACTTACATGCATGGACCGCTGATTTTCCATATCTTTACATAAAAATTTGCTTCACAGTTCTAATTAACATGATAATAGCTAGTTAAAGAAATTGAATATGTGCATGCAGGCCAGTATCAGGGGCATCAATGAACCCAGCGAGGAGTCTAGGGCCAGCAATTGTGATGCACACATACAAGGGACTGTGGATTTACTTTGCAGGTCCAATAGTGGGCACCGTACTCGGTGGATTTGCCTACAATTTGATTAGATTTACTGACAAACCACTCCGCGAGTTAACCAAGAGTGCTTCCTTCATCAAGTCCCTCTCCACTAAACCTTGATCATCCTATTCATTCATTACTTCATTTGCATCCGTTTAATTATTACTGCTTCGGCGATGGGATCCATCATCTTCTCCATCAACCATATATGTGGACATATGTATATCCTAACCCTAGGGCATATGGTATGGTACCATATATTAAATCCTAAATTATAATTAGTTTCTTATTCTGTGCAAGGGATTAATCGAAACTCATCTCTAGGTGTAATTGTACTTTCTTTTCCATTTTCTATGTACAATGTTATACAAATCTCTGTCATTTTCGAGATACCTAGCTAATAAAACTTCGAAAGCAGAAATCATGGCTAGCAAATTATAACTTCTCTTTTATTTGTTACTCTACCAAAATAACGTTTGATTTCCAATATGACCATGCGATAGTTTACAGTTTATGATCACCTTGGTAGGAATAGGATGCTCTGCCCCTACTAGATGTGAGGCTGGAGAGAGTGTACGTACGCATGCACTTTCTCTTCTCATGAACTTCTAATTAATGAATTAATATATATATATATATATATATATATATATATATATATATTCATTTTTTTTATTATATGTTCTTCAAATTTATGATGAAGCCATAGACTTTCCCATCTGATAAGCCCTCCCACCAAATCTTAATTTCTAGCTAGGCCATACCATTGACTCTAACCTATGATGCCACATGGGCAGTTTCATCTTTGTTATTTTCTTTCCCTGTATAAATGGTGTCTTGTCTTGTAAGACCCGTGTCTTGGGGAAACAAGAACGGTCAGCAATCCCACATCGCTCGGGGAGGGAAAGGTGAAGTGCTTAAATGTGTGGGCACTTCTCTTCCTAGCACGAGGCCTTTTGGGAGCTCACTGGCTTCGGATTCTTAGGAACTCCGAAGTTAAGCGATTTGGGGGCTAGAGCAATCCCAGGATGGGTGACCCACTGGGAAATTGCTCGTGAGCTCCCAGAAACAAAACCGTGAGGGCAGAGAGGGGGGCCCAAAGCGGACAATATCGTGCTAGGGAAGTCGGGACGTGACATGTCTTCACTTAAAATTGGAGGATTCAATGTATAGATCTACGATCTATTTGGTTTTGGTGTTGATTACTACTGGGATTAGGGATATATATTACTACCTAAGCGGGCGAACCAAAGGGGAAAAAAAAGTCGATAAAGGGACAGGATCGCAAGACATACAATTCATTAAATGGACAGGATCCGAGTTTACACAGGCGTGGCCGGTCCGGTATCTTTGTATATGTTGGGCAGGTCGAGACATGCAGAGCCCATGCACATGCTCCTACAGCAGGTTTTCAGTTTGTCCCAATTGGTGTGTGGCCGGGCCAACCCTGATTCCTAACCAAATGATTATATCCTCCTTAAAGTTTTCTAATCAAATGCTTCATATTAAAAAAAAATTGAAAGCATGACGTGGGTTAGACTAATTGAAGACAATGAATTCGTATTTTTACTCCCAATTCGAATTCCTGTTCGTAAATTAAATAAATTTATCCTATCATTTGTGTACATAAAGTAAATAAATAAAAAGCATACCTTTTAATTATATAGAAAAAACTGTTAATTTATAGGAAAATAAGGGTATGGAGGTGAAGCTGCTGGCAGGCAGGCAAAAGTATTAACAGAGGACAGTAACGACGGAATGAACGGAGGGTTTGAAGGCGTTATCGAAGTGTCAGAAAGAAAGAAGATAATAATTAAGAGGCGAAAAGCCAGCCATCATCGATTGGTGAGATTGAGATTGAGAAATGGTTTGACTGACTGATTGATACAAAACAACCTTTTTAAGCATATATCCCAACTTTACATTTCGGAAGTACTTGACAACTTATGAGTACACTAATCACTTCTCGCTCACTCACCAAAAAGTCTGTCTCTTTCTCTCTCTCAGCCTCAGAAGCTTGTTCAGACCAAAAAAAAAAAAAGCCTCAGAAGCTTGTTAGCAAAAAAAAAAGATCTAATTTTGTAACCCCCCAAAAGCAAAGAAAAAGAAGCAAGATCTAAAGGCAAAGACAAAGTAATGGGTTTCTTTGGTGTTGTGTCATGTGTGTGTTTTCCCTCCTAACACGCCTGCTTCAGATGCCTAACTAACATTTTGCTTCATTCTCCTGTTTCCTTCTCTGGGATCCAAGCCCCAGCCACCGCTAATCTGATTTATATGCGTTTCTTGCACCTCTGAAATGCCCCCTTGTAGTTAAGGTAAGCTCTTAACATTTCCTGCAATTCAGTGACTTTTTCTCATTTGGGTTTTGGATAAACGGAGACTTGCCCATGTTTGCTTGCTTATTAATTTTCTTTTTTGTCTCTGAAAGATTGACATTCCTTTGAGGGCTGATTATAATCATGTCTGGGGAGATAGAAGAACCCTTTAGTTTTAGCTTTCAGGTACTTCTTTGTTTCCACCTTTTAGTCTGTGCTTGATTGTATATTTTCATTCCAATTTTGTTTGTTTGGAAGTAAAGGTTCATAAAATCTGTACCAATCTGAGATCAACTACTTAATCAGGAAAATTTTAGGAATGTTATGAGATACAAAAGAATTTTGGTCATGTTGTAGAAATTTTGTAAGTGTTGGCAAAAGCCATGGAATTGGATATTGTAATGAATTGTGATCTGCTTTTCTGATTTGATTGATTTTCAGCAGAGGTGTCCAAAAACTGATATAGTAATGCATACAAAATTTCCCACAAAGTGCATGAATTAAAAAATTTGTTTAGCGATTCAATCTGTTTTATAGTCATTCCAATAACAGCCACTTGTTTGGAATTGGACAGTCAGACTCTTTACACTCTGGTTCCATATCATTTGGGAGGTTCGAAAATGAAGCGTTATCTTGGGAAAAGAGATCATCTTTCTCACATAACAGATATGTTGAAGAGGTCGAAAAATGCTTGAAACCAGGTTCAGTTATTAAGAAGAAAGCTTACTTTGAAGCTCATTTCAAAAAGAAGGGTCTTCCCAAACCAAATTTACCCGAGTGTCATCATGGTACAGATTCTCAAGTCTCTGAAAATGATGTCTTGGAGAGTGGTGCTTACAGGGAAGAATTTGAACATGGAAATGAAGGCAGCAGTTATGCTCAATTTGATGAGAGCCCGGATGGTTCAGAGTATCATGGAGACTGTAGTGTTGTGACCGAATGTGAAAAAGAAGATCCTGAAGTTTTATTGTCTAGTCCTCAGAAGGTATCTTCCTTAAAGGATGATGATATTTTGGTCGATGGTGCTGTTGAAGATGCAAATTCTGAGGAAACACATCAACCCGGAAAGGATTGTGACAAGTTTTCTTCAACTATTGATGAACCAGAGACTGATGTAAATAAGAATCATAATGGTGATGCAGCGAATGCTGATGAATCTTCTAACCCTGTTAATATATGCCCCAAGACTGAAGCAGCTAAGAAAATTGATAGCACTATTGTAGAAACTTGGCAAAGTGCTTCTCCAAAGGTTTGGGCTCCTAAGAATACTTTCATCATAATAAGACATTTTTCTCTAGTTAGTAGTAGTATTTACTGTAGACTCTCTTGCATTAAAATCTAGATGTAATTATATCTGACGAAAAACAATATGGATATAATTATAACATTATAGCATCTACATATGTGCTTCCCGATTTACTTTCCTTTTGCTGTTTGAGAACCAATGCTATGTTGCTTATACTCCTTGTGTCCTATCTAGTTGAAGGATGCAAAAGAATCCAAAACTTCCAAGCCCAGAGACAATTCTAAGGCCAGCATTTCTCAGGTCCAGAGAAGCATTTCTTGTGAGGCATCTAAAGATCCTATAAAGAATTCTAATACAAGAGAAAGAGAGGGCACACGGAGGAGAACGGATAAAGAAAAGCTGTCATCAAAAACTACCATTCCATCAACACATTCTGGACGCAGAACTTCAAAATTAGAGGTAAGCATTGTTCATGATACGTATTTACCACTAAAATGCCAAAATATGATAAAGGTATTTCATGTCCTCGTATTTATGATGTTCTTCACCCTCTAAATGATGATGTACTATATAGTATATATATATTAGTTTCCCAATAATGGTATGCCTTTGGATACTGCAATCCTTTATTTATTATTCATCATTGCCTTTCTCTTTTTTTATTCCACACAGGAGTCTAGAGATCTGAAGGGAAAATCTGTTCATGAGAGTACAAGGTATATACTGTTTTTTGTAAGTGGAAATCCTACATGCTTTATTGAATGGAACCTCATATATCCTTCTTACATTGTTGTAGTGATAAAGAGTCACGAGGCAAGAAACTTGATGAACCTCAACCTCCGGCATTCAAGCCTGACCCCAGAAGATGCCAAACAGCAAACAGGTATATTAACATTTCTTATTCAATGCTATTAGATGTTTCTATCTCTCGAACTGTTGAATTTTGATGGAAATCACCTTTCCCTTTTCCTTTCTCATATAGGCTTAACCACAGAGTGACCAAGTCTGATACGAGATCAAGTGTTGCAACTTTCAATTTCAAAAGTTCTGAACGAGCAGAAAGGAGGAAAAAGGCAAGCCAGCATGTATTTTTCTGAATTTGCAGTTCCTTTAGATTTTGGGTTTAGATTTATATGGCTTACAACATTGAAGTGACTTGTTCCTTTGTCCTTGTGGCTCATACAATCCAGTTTTCCATGAAGTTGGAAGAAAAAATGCACGCTAAGGAAGATGAGATGAGTAAGATCCAAGCAAGAAAGCAGGTAAAGAAATTATTCAAATACTATCTTCTCTATATAATGCTGAATTATTCGGCAATTTCAGTGTGGGATGCATTAGTATGTTGAAAAAGATAATTATGTTTTTCAAATGATTAGAATGCTATGTTATGCTTGGTACAATGATGCAGTTGTTGTGGGTCTAATCTATTCCTGGACTTTTGGATGCTAAAGTTTATATAGTTACTCATAAATCAGGCAAATGTTCGATGATAATGCAACTCAAATATTCCTGATTGCATGCTTTCGAAACTTCTCTTAAGAATCTCAATGGGTTTGTTATGCGGCAGGAAAAGACAGAAGCTGAGATTAAACAATTCCGGAAAAGCCTCAACTTCAAAGCAGCACCAATGCCTTCTTTCTACAATGTAGCTATGACTTCAGGGCCTGATGGAAAAAAGGTAAATAAATGTCTTACATTGCATTTTTAAGACAGGAGATAGATTCCAAGTGAATCAATGAGGCCCAGTTTGAATTGGAGCATAAATTCCAATTCACTCGTGAAAACGGATGTAGAATATATTGTGAGATAGAGAATGACTTGTGGTGTTCTAAATCATGATTAGCTGTTCTTTCTTTTTACCAAACATTCCATTTCTATGTCTTTCAGGCTGCATCTACCAAATTCTCTAAAGTACAAGGCAAGTCAACAAGTCCAGGGAGTGGAGCTGCTGCAGGATTGGCCTCACATTCAGAGGTAGGAAAGGATGAAGATCCCACTTCTAGTGCTCCTGTAAGCACAACTGAATCACATGATGCCTCAGGAGAAACCAACTTATCCCGAGATACGAAAACAAAAAGTGAAGGCAGCAGGATGAAAGAAAAAGAGAAGGATGCTAATGTGCAGAAACAGCGGTTTTTAGAAAGTGGTAAGGTGGCAAAAGGTCGGAAAAGTGAGGGGAAGCAGAAAGCGGGAGGCGAAAGAAATAGCACAGAGATGTCAAGGAAGGGTATGAAAGGCATCGGCTTCGGAAGCAGTTCCAGAATGGGTCATCTAACAGTTGGTGTTGCTTCATGAATGAAGGGTCCTTGTTCCTTTTGTCATCCCATCATCCACAGTATGCTTCAATTTATGGTATTGGTGACAACCATTATTACTGTTAGTGATCATCAAAATCAGCTGTTGAGGCTAGCGTTCCCTTTTGCTATCACTTTTAGAGTCCCACAGACAGTTTTATCCATGCAAAGCTTGTAACAAAAGCATATAAGCTGAATAGACATAATAATAATGGTTGCGCTGTTTTGAGGGGCTAAAATTGCCTAGGCTAGGCCCTCTTGCCACCTTATAAATATGATAAATTAAAAATTGATTAAATTATATTATTCATCAGGTAGATTGTAATGAAAGCAAGTTCTCTTTCAATCAAAGTATGTCTCTTTGAAATGGATTAGCGAGTTTGTTGCTGGCACAGAACAGAACAGAGCTTTTCTATGGTCATTCAATTGAAATTCTATCATTTCCCCACAAAAAATGAAGAATTTTTGCAGTGGCATGGAACCTTGACCCATCTTTTTACGGATCAAATCCCGGATGTCTCAAGATTTTCTGCCTTCCCACTAAATAATATGACAAGTCACAGTCTCAATGCTTTTGAATTCCCTTATGTTTGATAAAATGTTGGGAATCTTCTACTTAAAAAGCTTGTGTGGGTTGGAATGTCGTAGGGAGAAAGATAATACTCCTTCTGTCTCTACTCTACTTTTGACTCTTAAGTAGTAAGTACCAACCAAAGGACCCCCACCCCACCACCATAGCAAACCTATTCTATTATCTTTATATACATACTGCATTAGTGGTTGCAACTCTTAACAACCAAGTTTGAAAACTTTTAACCTTTGTTTAGCCTTTATTGTTCTTTTAGCGGACCAATTTTATTAATTTACAAGACATAAAATGGACCTTGAAATGTAATGGAACTGAGCTTAGCTCCATTTGGTTTGCCATGCATTTAAAAAGTTTGAATGAAGACAAAAAACTGAAAGGAAGGAGCCTAAAGGAGGATAAGGAAGGCATCTTGAAGTTTCCGTTCCATTGACCTGCCGACTGTGTAATTCAGCCTATTGGCTGTTGTCCTTTGCGAGCAATCACCAAAACAGGTGATGTAATATTTCAATTGGGAGGTTAAGCATCGCATTAAGACAAAACATAAGCAATATAATATTAATTCTATGTATCATCATCATCATCATCGTTATCACTTGCTCTGTTTCTCTCACCCTCATTTCTGCAACTGCAACTAAATACATACCACTCTTGGATCAATCAATCTCATGAAACATGTACCATAAAAATATTTAACATGACTGATTTCCATTCAACCAAAACATGATGATATTTGATCATGACACCCAAATTGTGACCAGCTCCAGCTAGGTAATTCATTGATTAAAAGAAGAAGAAGAAGAAGAAGATTGTTACAGAAAACTAGAGAAAAAAGAAGAAGACAAATACAAGTAGAATATTGGTGGTGGCAATAGTGTTGAAGAGGGTGGATGATCTTGTAATGAGGGGGGTTGCTGATGAAGCGTCTCCGTTTCCGCGAGCACCGTTTTTGTAGTAGAATGGGAAATAGGGAAGGATGGGGTCAGGAGGGGGATTGGCACCAGCATATCCACCACCACCATTGTAAGTGGATGGAGGAGGGTTGTAAGAGGAATATCCCGATCCAGTTGGGTTATTGTAGACGGTCGGAGGAGGCGGGTATGACCCGGTTTGAGTCGACGGCGGAGGCGGTGTTGTGGTGGTCACCGGAGTAGTGCTGCCGGTGCCGGTAGGTGGAGGATAACATGGATATGCGCACGGATTATCTGAAGTTGTTGTCGCCGGGAAGCTGAGAAGAATGGAGACCAGGAAGAGGGTTGAGAATGAGAGAATAAGTGGGTTTAATATGTTAGCAGCAGCAGCCATGGTGATGGTGCGTTAAAAAGGGTTTGTGGATGGAAAGGTTTTGAGGAAACGTTGAAATGAATAAGAGAAAGGAGAAAGGGGGTTGGGGGTTGGGGGTTGGAGAAGAAAACAAAGTAAACAAGTGGAGTGGGTGAGTGGTGGTGGAGGTAAGCTGTTTGCTATTAGGAGGAGAAGCAGACTATGAGAGTCTTGTCACGACTCAAGAAAAACAGAGAAAATAGAAAAAGGATCCATATATACAAAAGGAAGGGAGCGTACAAAAGCAAATTATATTTAGCTACTTTTGACGACTCTTAGTTTTTGCGGTATGATTAGAGGATGTCACACTCGTACATGAAACTTGGATACTAGTTATTCAATGTTGATACCAAAGGTTGGTTCCGAAACACATTTCAATATGAAAAGAAAAATAAAATAAACAAAACCTTGTGCATCGAAAAGTCATATAGCAACACCCGGCGCCTAGCTATATGACTAGATAAAAAGTTGGATATGTATGTGGTTTAGGCCCTTTGACAACAACACCCGGCGCCTTCCACTTCTACTCTCACGAGTCGACGGCCAAGTCGAAGGCCACCACTCGTTCCGGCGGAGGACCCCGAAGTGGTATGCTTTAAGGTCATGGGCCATTATGTCTTTATCTCTCTCGCAGTGGAATGCGTGGCATGAGGAAATTGACTTGGGTCCCGTACTAGTAAATTAGTGAGAAGAACTCAACCCCACATGGGGGAGGTTTATGCGGGGGGCGTACCTACTCTCTGTGAGAGAAGAGAAGAGAAGGTTGTAGACTTGTAGTCTAGCTAGCTATTATTATTGTAATAATAATAATAATGCCCTACGAACAAGGCAGCCCAAATTCCATGGTATTGTATCCTGTTCCCAGCTATTTAGTTGAAACTTGTGTTAATCCACTGTCTTGGATCTTGCCAAACTCTCCAAAGGCATCGATGGAATGGAGTTTCAAAAAGCTTAATTAATGAGCTGTTAATCTTTGATTAATTATCATTAGACTATAATATAAGGAGGAACATTCTTGAGGCATAAGCCTTGTATAACAGGTACAATATTATTGTTATAAACTAGCTAGCTAGTCCTTTATTAAGTCACGAGTATTGACTACGTTGTATGATGTCTAACTATCTCAAAGACATCTCCATCCGAAATTGGTGCATGGTTTTCAATTTTATATTACCAAAGTAGAAGCACAAATGAAAGTCTGTTTGGGTGTGATGTGCGTATATGGCCATGTGGATTGTCAACCTAGTCACTAAATTCTACACCTAACCATGTTCTTATATATAAAAGCTAGTGAGAAATTTGAGAATGGAATCATGGAGAGACAGAGACAGGCGTTTAAATTGCGTTTGAAAAGCGTCCAAATTGTGATCCATGACTTTCTTTGCTACTTACGCAAATTTAAGGCACTGCTGGAAAAAGAAGTCAAAAGTAAGTGATGAGAGCTCGGTTGAGTGAGTTTGACGAACAAGTTCTCGTGTAGCCCACAACCCAACATAATCAACTGGATCGCTCACTAAATACCATTCACCTTGATCATGCAAACGAATACAAGGTCAAATAGGATAAAGCCTCCGTTAGGTTCATTAACTGGTAATCAAATTCATTTAGTTTCATCAAGATTCTGTGGTCCTAAATAAAAAATAAAAGATAAAACATTCACGCATCTATGCAACGTCAACATCAAAATAGAATCAAATAATAATATCGTTGTCCTGATCTTAAACTTGCACATGTTAATGGTTGATTGTATATCTATTAATTTTAAGAAAATAATAAGAAGAAAATACATCCAAATGATTATAATTACATGATTTGCATCCCGACGAAAGACCGAAATTGAATACAATATAAGATAATTTTACTTACCAACCAAAATATATAATTATATGTAATGGAAAGGGTAACTTTCATTTTACTCGGAAAATGAAAGGTGTACGCAAATTAAATTATATCCGAATTATTTTTATAAGGAGTGACGTAGGTATGAATATGATGAGGAGACTCTATTCTTTTTACTTTGGAATTTGTGGTTTAAAAAAGGATAATGCTTTCGGTCATCTGTAGAAAGAGGCGAGGGTGTTATGTGAAAAAAGGTCCATGGCCTAAACTTTATGAAACCTCTAAAGGTCGCATTATTTGATCCAACACTACAGGCTGTTGTGCTTCCTTATTGTCAACCGAACAGTCTGTATATAATAACAAAAATGCTACTTTCCTGCTTATACAATTTTATATACAACCGACAAACAAAGAATATTAATTAATGAGTGAATGTTAACATGGTAATTCCATTTGGAGGGAATGAATAACCATAATTGATTTGTCTTTGAACACTTGTCGTCATGATAAATCAGAACCATTGTATGTATGAATGTTATTATCGTGCGGATGTCATGTATTTTCTATTATATTTTTCTTCTTTTCTTCTTATTTATAATAGCATTCATACAAGGGCACAACTCACTCAACTTGTTAGTTAGGCTTAGGATAATATTTGATTTGATCATTTACCCATCAGCCTGCTGTTTGGTTAGTTGCATGGTTGGTGTGGTGTAGCCTATTTTTCTCACAGCTACCAACTATTGCATTATCCTTGATCGAACCAATCACACTGTACTGCGTGGCAAGGCATCTAAATTCATAATCACATTCTTACTAAATTAAGCCATGGTTTATCTCCAATTGCAGCACGAAGGAGTAAGTAGATAAGGACAAGTAAATCTTGATTAAAATTAATAATTACACACCAAACAAACCAACCCTATGAGGATATGAATATCGACGGACGAGGACGACCCACTAGCTAGTTGGCTTGCCTATAAAACCCAAGACGATGTATATGGATGTGAAAAGAGGCATGCACTAAAAAGCTTGCGGGACCCTTTACATAGTTTGGTGAAACCGAAGTTGATCTCTCCTTGTAAAGCACAGAAGCACATGGCGCTTGTACATACGACACGTCGCCAGAATGGAATGACTTTTGACATGAAGATCAGATGGTTGGCATTTTCAAGTTCGCATCACTGACCGACAGGCCCACGTACTGAAGCTAGGCAAGCTATGTGAACCTTCCTAATTGGACATCAATTCACACGCGTCACCTTCACCGGATGAACGCTCAAACTTTTTTCAAACTGTACAATAACAAATTAATCTCCTATTGCTATATAAAATACAATAACCGTATCGTTCGTTTTAGATAAAACTAAAGGAATGATCTAACCTTTTAGCAAGCAGATTGCGAAAATTGTGTGTTTTGGTTTTGGAATGCATTGTCTTTGTCTAGTGTGGGCAATTGGTGACCAGTTTCTATCTATCTGTTATGAACTTGGCCGCCCCAACGCAACTAGTGCATAATACAAGGACATCATTATCCTTGCATATATAATGCTAAAACAATAAGGATGGTCGCTGCTTCATTTTTTTTTTTTCTTTCTTTTGGAAATATATAAATAATAAAGTACGCATATTATTTAATCAACTGATTAGAGTCATTAAACTGTCACCATAAATTTATAGCATCAAATTAGTTTGTGGTGGTGCTATATTAATATGTTATTGGATTACACTATAATATTGGTTTTGTGGTGGTGCTAAACAACAAATGCACAAGTTATGGCTTGAATTATGCACAGTGGCACATTCATAGTTGAGTCCATTAAGCACATGCCACCTGCACGCATGAGCCCTTCCTAAGCTAAGCTAACAAGGCACATCACCCATTAATCATGGGGGTCCACATTAAAAGCAAGTTTTTTTAATTAAGACGTCAGTGGAAGTGCAAGCCGGTGAGTAGGGTTGGGTTGGCTGATCCATCCACACCCTCAAATCAACATATCCAGCGGATCGCATCAATTACCAATACAATCATAATTCTAAATTTCATAATTCAAGAGCTAGGGAAAAAGAAAAATAACAAAGTCAATTACGTAATTACTGAGCACGAGACTGACAATAAAATTGAAATCGAAAGATTATTACACAATTGATAAGAGCAAGTTTGAAAATATAAGTATTAAATTTGTGCCCTTATAATTCCCTGGAGTACAAAAATCAAACTGTTCATCCCTAATTATAACATCCAGAAAAATTTTATGTCCCTTAATTAAAACCATATACCATCTGAACTAATCTTACTTACCGCATAAGAAATTACGAATGAACAAGTACATGATCACCAAAAGGCCAGAAGAAGACCCAACAATCCACAGCCAACCAAAATCGGTAACCCCGTGACCAAACTCCGGCTAGCACCATTGAAATTACGGTCAACAGGGTACAAATCCCCCGGTGGACCGGTGATGTATATCAACGGCGTGGAAGGTGATGACGGTGTTGATGGTGTTGATGGCGTTGATGGCGTTGATGGCGTTGTTGATGGCGGCGGAGGGCAGTACGGAGTGGACGGTGGTTTTTTGGGTGAAGGCGGCGGATGTGACGGTGGCGGCGGAGATGGTGGCGGCGGTGATGGCGGAGGGGGGCTTTGAGAGCATGGGGCGCACTTTTCCTCCCCAGGCGCGGGTGGCGTTTCGTCAGCATAGACTGGACCTGCTACGGAGGCAATCAAAAGGAACATGGCAATCATAGCCAGGGCCGGAGGTTTAAAGCAACGCATTTTGATCGGCATAGGGAGTTCCTGGCTGTGAATTTGATTGATATGTTGATATGGTACTGGTTTTTATTAGGGTGGAGTGGGTTTGGTGACTTTGAGGAAATTTGGTAGAAGGGGGAAGGGAAGACTGTGTGTGAGAGAGAGATTACGTTATTATTAGGTGCATGGAGTGAAAAAGAGTAGGCTTTTTTTGGGGGTTTGAGGGATGGGAAATTGAAGTGAGGGAGACGTGTTGTGAGGGGCTTTTCTAATTTCTATTAGGAAGAAGAGATGTTGCTTTTTCTTCAAGGGAATCGCACTGCATGTGGATGGTCCAAATTTGTGGCCCCCACCACCATTTACATATGTCTAATCTTTTATTTTATTTGATGGTCGTATGAATGTATGTATATGTACATTGCTTTCTTATCAATCATTACTTAATGTACGATATGCATAGTATAATGTCGGATACTTTTACTATACGCGTAGCCCTATAATGTAATAAGGTGTAATTAAAAAGAATCTTTGAAAGATCACAAATCTTAGAGAAAATTTTGGTGAATCATGAATTCATTCAAGAGTTCGATTGTGGAGGTTGGAGAAAATGGAAGTAGATCAAGCAAGCCAAAAAAACAGAAAAGAAGATCTTGTTAGATATAATTTTGTGGCTTTCTCTTTCTTGAATTTTTTTAGTCTTCATTGTTGAAAGAAAAGGGACAGATGACTGAAAATCCCACTTAGAGATTGCAACAATAGTTAGAGTAGGAGTTCCCATCCATCATTTCTTCGTTTTACCTTCAAATTACAATTGATCTGTCGGATTCTATTAAGTTTGTCCACATGTATAACAATTTGAGTCGTGAGTATACACACACCTCCAATAAGAAAAAGAAAAAGAAAACTATATAAAGTAAGAGAATAGAAAGGAGGTTTCATTTCATCTAAACAGGATATAATTAAGAATAAAATAAACCCGAATATCTTTAGACAAAACAGGATATATTGTCCAGCCACCGGCCCCTTTAACATAAACATGCATCAAAATTATACAGCATCAATCGCCAGCGAAAAATGAGAGAAGAAAGCATGAAATATCCGCTTCGTTTGCATCATTTGAACATTTTCTTTTTTTTTTGGGTAAGTTTATTATGTGTTCATTCACATGATGGATGACTCATGAGCCTTTGGGGGAATTCTGTTCTTCATGTTGCACCGCATAATTGATTGGTGGATATAATATCAATATCAGATCATCATCAGCTTAGCTGGGGTCAATTGCCCAATTGTTGAATTGTCGTTGCCTACTTTTGTTTTTTGGTCGAAATTGCCTACTTTTGTTTGTCCTCGATAGTTTCATATGCGCGAGACTTCTAGGTGTTATAATTATACTGATATACATTATCACGATGAGACCGACTCTGAGTGAGAAGAAACAAAGACCAAGGACTCTTGCGGAAGACTTGCAAAAGACTAGTGGCCACAAGCCACAAACAAATCAACATTTCATTGTCAATATTTGGGAGATTCCAATTTCCAATGCCCATATTATGGACACGTTTGATGACATAGAGGCCCTACTCTCCACGTTTGATGAGCTGCAGTTCCGGGAGAGAGAGAGACACCTGCACTGCACTGCACCTTTTGCTTGGATCATCAAAAAATGAATCATTTTATAAGATTTACCTTTTCTCTCTCTCACTTTGGGGCTTTGAGCTTTACAGTGCTAATTTGTGTTGTTGTAACCCAAGTGTGCAGTATTAAACTGTTGCTTTTAGCCACAGAGAGACACATTGAAATTGTAGTGACGAGGAACTTAACCCTGAAGAAACTTAAGAGAGAGAGAGAGAGAGAGAGAGAGAGAGAGAGAGGATACAAAAAGCTATGAATGTGGAATCTACATGTATGCGTCTCAAAGGGAGAGATGGAGATAATTGGTTATAAAGGGGCACCGTCCCATTCTCTCAAAGCATATTCTTCCCTTCCCTTTTCTTCATTCAGATCCAGGTCTACTTCCCCAATAACACACACTACTATAAATAATTCATTCATTCAGCCTAGCTATAGCTAAGGATGATGATCTTCGGAACCTTCTTTCCTTAAAACTAATCAGTATTGCTTTTCCTGGAAACCAATTATTAATTGTTAGTCCAATAATAAAATAATCATGGTGCATTCATTATTTGGCAGGAAAATAACATAAAAAACAATCACATGGTGTACTCGGAATATGCAAAAATTACTTCAAAAACAGCTTTTGCCTTGACCACATGCCAATATGACAAGTAATAATAATATGCCCTGTAAGAATAGCCAATAACTGGGTAAGGTTGAATTGAAGGCCAAGAGATATGCAGACTTGTTTTATATATGGAGCTGGTGAGAAGGATTGCACCAATACGACTGGGAAGCTGCTTATTGATTAAATTCAATTATTCAATTATTGTGAACACAAATCAAACAGTCGTGACGCATCCAATGGATATACTTTTGGCTTGGCCCAGCGCGACCATAACTTTATATCTACATTGTTGTCATTTTGTTCAGTAATTAAAAAAAATAAGGTACCAAATGCTTTTCCTTTTTCCGCAAGTAATTCCAAGAGAAAGCAATGCAACATGAAAAGCCAACCCACTCAACAACCTTGGCAATTATTAAAGAAAAGTCCAAACTCCAATTAAGTGACAAAGCATAGCATGGGCCATCCCATTCAAATCCAAAGCTCACTGTATTTGTACGATGGCCCTATGCATTGCAAGATCAAATCAAGTCATTCTTTTTCCTGGGTTGGGCTTTTGTTCATTAAACCCCAATCAATCTTTCAAGGCAAAGGCATACAAACTAAGTTTGCACAATTTCATTGCCTCCAAATTGAGTCCAGTACAACAAACAGGCCCAACGGCAGGGACTTGAGATTTCCTAAATACATTTTCTACAAAGTCACTCAGAATTGACCGCAACAGCAAAAGGCAAAGTACAACAAGCAACCACTTCCCCCACTAAAATGAAAAGAAGCCATTTCCTAGGCTTGGTACGTGTAGAGCTGAGCCGTCCACCCCTGAATGAGATTCCAGACGCGTCCTCTTGGTCTTGAAGCATCCAGACTGTTCAAAAGCTGATTGTCCACAGAACAGAGACGGAGGAGGAGACTCGAACCCTTGGGCCATCTCCATCAACATTGTCTGTAGATCCTCCATGCTATAATTCTTTGCCTGATCACCACTCCAAATTACATAACCCCAATTAGAATTCCTAGAAACGACTAAGTAGAAACTCTCTCTACCATCACACCACGAACCAACCAAATTAAGCTAAAAAAGAAAACAAGATCAGAGAGTCTAGTCTAGTCTACCTCTCTTCTGGATTCGGCCATGAGAGAGACCATTTCTTGCACAAAATCACAGAATCCCTGCGGTACACATCAGTTGTGTGTAAATTAGGTGCCAAAGACAGCTTAAATCAACATACAAAAAGGGCCTTGATTGAAGAACAATAGAAACATAAAGACCCACCTCGTCGTCTTCCTCATCAGGATCATATAAGCCTGCATCGTACATGGTCCGCTTCCTCCGGTCTGATAACACTGCTCCAATCAAAACCCAAAAACAGGGTTAAACAAAAGCTGTATCAAATCAATCGACACTCGAAGATTCTTTTAAATGAAAATAATTAATAATTCAAGAAGAAACCCTACACACACAAAAACACCATTTCAAAAAAAATTATGTTTATATACCTGAATAGGCTTCTTGAATAAGCTGGAATTTTCGCTTGGCTTCACCCAACAAAGAAGGTGTTCTTGTCCACCTGTCCGGATGCCATTGCTGCACCAACACAAGTTAACCAAATACACAACGTCAACTCTACACTCATTTCATTAATTAGCACAAAAATTTCCGAATTAAATAATCCAAAAGCACAGAAACCCAACCAAAAAGACGCATCTTTTCTTCTCATTGTCACCATGTAAAAAACAGGGTTTTTTTTTCTCTCTCCGAAATCTAGTCATTTTATCTGGACGCGATCTATGTATATATCATGCACTTACATATATGAAAATTAGAATCTAGAAAAGAAAAGAGAAGATGATAAATTTTACCTACCATAGCAAGCTTGCGGTAAGCACGCCTTATATCTTCAATGGAAGAGTCCGAACTGACACCAAGAACTCTGTAGTAAGATGGCGAACCCTGTCCAGCTTCCATCTCCACCAAAATCACCACCACCCAAGAAAACCAATCTCAGAGCTTCTTTTAATTCCCAATCAAACACCCAACTTCGCAAAGCACAAGTTCCTCAAGCACTTCTATTAACCACGTGTACAGTTCTGATATCAGACTCTTGTTAATCTTGAATGCTATAGAAACCAGAGGACCATTGAAATATTACCAAGTAATACAAACAAGAACAGATTGAAGGGGAGGGTGGTGGTAGCGTATTTATAATACAGTGATGGCTGGCTTAGCTATGGCGGTTTCTGAAAACAGAGGAAAAATATCTTCTGGGTTTCCAATCTGGAATGTTCCGGAACAACTTAATAAATGACGTGGAAGTTTCTTTTGCGACAAGGGCCGTAGATATTTTCGGGGTTTAGATATTTTCTGGTTTGCTAAATGTTCAGCTCAGCTTGGACAAAAATGAAGAAAAACAGCATGCTTATTTTTTATTTTTAATGTTGATGGCAGAGATTCCAATTTGAAGAAGTGGGCACAAAGGTAAATGTGCCATGGGCTGAAACTATGTCCCAAGTCCAACAAAAAGAAACTAGGCTTTGGAATTTGAAGTTCTAATATTATCTTGGGCTACTTCGTCTCAGGCCTGAAAGAGATTGGACTTTGGGCTACCGCATGCAAACTTAGGTTTTGTCAGCCTTTGGAAGTTTGGATCCAAAACAAAACTGAACAAGGTTATTAACAGCGACTTTTTCTTGTTAGCTTTGTTTTGCTTGCTCTCTTTAGCTTTGAGAAAGGAAATCGACGGCCGCAAAGAGTTTGTTTGTTCAATTTTTCCGGCGATTTCATCCA